TTGTGAGCGGGGGGCCAGTAATGTTGTTGGGGTGTTGCATTTAAATGTAATGTTTAGTGATGTAAGGGTTCACATTCCTGCTGTACGGCCTGTGGAGCTTCCCATAGTAGAGGGTATTTATGGAAGAAGGGGTTGGGCTGAAAAGGTTGCGGTTGTTGGAGATTGGTCATGGGACAGAGAGGGACCATACACTGAGAGATGTAGTGTTAAACCTTAGTGGGGTACCCCTTGGCAGTGGGACCCTGAAGTGGGGACTGAATGTCGAACAAATCGCCATCAGTGGGGAACGATCACAAACCAAAAGATCTGAAACACCACAGCATAGTCCAGAGATCCTGCCAAATGTTAAAGCTGAATTCCTGGAATTCAGCATCGGAGCTCAGGTCTATCCTCCTGGAGTGCAATAAACCTGTCTAATGGCAATAGTGTAAGAAGAACCAAATATTTTCATATCTCCTTGACCAACCACTAGGAGGTTTGCAACCAGTGATGCGTGCGGGGTAAGGGTATAAATAGATGGGGGTGACCTTGAAAGATCTTTTACTTCCCTGGCTTTGCCTTTGGAGGACATGTCTTCCTGACCTCCCAGGCCTGCTGCTTGTGGAGGACACATCTTCCTGCAAAGCGTAAGTCCAAGTTTGGGGCATGAGGCTTTCCATGTCTTAATGGAGGTATTTCCCAGGAAAAATGAGGCTGAATTCTGGATTGGAGCACCAGGTGGAACTTTGTTGCTGAAGAGCAAGGTGAATGCTTGAACACTGCAGGAAATCAAGTTGCTTGTCCAAGTGCTGCCCCTTTCAGTCAAGAGAATATGGGGTGTATAGGCTATGCCTATAGTGCCATCAGGGGACCCCACTCTTCATCATGCCTGAACTCAGGTCCCTTGGTACATTCTGTTGTGATTTTATTAACATCAGCTGCCCAAACCCGAAAGAAAGCGAAGGCTTCCCCCCCCCCCCCCCCGATGCCCTTCACCATTAAATGTTTCTTTTTGGCATCCTATACACTCTCTTGCTGGAGTTTATTGGTCATTATTAAACTCTAATGACTTCTTTAAAATTGACTGGTGCCCATCTGTTCACTACATGTCGAGAATCCACCCCTGAGATGAAAAGGCAGCCCAACTGACTTTTGGGGGTTGCTAATTGCCTCTAAGGCAGGGGTCTCCAAACATTCTAAACAAAGGGCCAGTTTAATGTGCTTCAGACTTTTAGGAGGGCCAGACTGTGACCAATGGGAGTAGAAAAGGTCCCGATGTCAGTGGGAAAAAAATAATGCCCTATTGTTTGGTGACAGTTGTAGAATTGTATCATTGTGCCCCATCATTGATGCCACTGGATTGTGCCCATTACTTTGTGTTATTGGGAGGAATTGTGCCCCCCACATTGGTGTAAGTGGGGAGAATTATGCCCGAATTGTTGGTATCAGTGGATGAAATAGTGCCGCTAGAGTTGGGGGTGTTACACATACTAGGAAGATGCCCTTTTCTGGCAGCACATTCGAGAACTGGACTACTGCCCAAGGGGGGGTGCTACACATAGTAAGAAGCTCCAGTGGGAGTAGAAAAGGTCCCGATGTCAAGTGGGAAAAAAATAATGCCTTATTGTTTGGTGACAGTTGGAGGAATTGTGCCCCATCATTGATGCCACTGGACCCCATTATCGGTTTCATTGGGAGGAATTGTGCCCTATTGATGTCATTGAAAGGCATTGTGCCCCCCTCATTGGTGTAAGTGGGGAGAATTATGCCCGATTGTTGGTGTTAGTGGATGAAATAGTGCCCCTAGGAGTTGGGGGTGTTACACATAGCAGGAAGATGCCCTTTTCTGGCAGCACATTCGAGAACTGGACTACTGTCCAAGGGGGAGGGGGGTGTACACATAGTAAGAAGCTCCAGTGGGAGTAGAAAAGGTCCCGATGTCAGTGGGAAAAAAATAATGCCCTATAGTTTGGTGACAGTTGGAGGAATTGTGCCCCATCAATGATGCCACTGGACCCCATTATCGGTGTCATAGGGAGGAATTGTGCCCTATCAGTGTCATTTAAAGGCGTTTTGCCCCCCTCATTGGTGTAAGTGGGGAGAATTATGCCCGATTGTTGGTATTAGTGGATGAAATAGTGTTACCCCTAGAAGGAAGATGCCCTTTTTGGCAGCACATTCGAGAACTGGGACTACAGTCCAAGGTAGGGGGGGCGGGTGCTACACATAGTAGGAAGCTCCAGTCGAGTAGAAAAGGTCCCGATGTCAGTGGGAAAAAATAATGCCCTATTGTTTGGTGACAGTTGGAGTAATTGTGCCCCATCATTGATGTCATTGGAAGGCGTTGTGCCCCCCTCATTGGTGTAAGTGGGGAGAATTATGCCCAATTGTTGGTATTCAGTGGATGAAATAGTGCCCCTAGAAGTTGGGGGTGTTACACATAGGAGGAAGATGCCCTTTTCTGGCTGCACATTTGAGAACTGGACTGCTATCCCAAGGTGTAAGTGGGGGGGTTGGGGGGGCTAACACATAGTAGAAGCTGTCCTTTAGAAAAGGTCCCGATGTCAGTGGGACAGCTTTCCAGGTGCCTGGACTGTTACATGTGGAGTATTGTCCAGGGGGGCTTGTCTGTCCGGGGGGGGGGGGGGGGGGGACTTCTGCAGAGCTTTCCCCGGACTGTGTGACGGCAACGGTCTGACTGTCCAACGTGCTTCCAGAACATTGCATAACAAGTAAGAAAAAAAAAAATCATGTAAGACTTTCAATTGGGCTTTAAAGCAAAAAACTGATGAAACAACTCCATACTACAAATGAACAGAAAATACGAAGCCTAGAACCTGACCTCACTCCAAAACTATGAGGTCCATTCAGACAGAACGCCACCAGACAGCGCAGTGTTTCCTCCGTACAGGAGATAAGTGCGTCCTTTATAAATGCTTCCAAGAGGTTTTTTTTGGTTTTTTTTTTTTCTAAAGACCGCTTTCCAGGCTTTTATTCAGGGTGGGTTTTGCTTACATTTAGATACACAGTGGGCTTAATGGAATTTCTCTTTCATAACATTTTCAATCAAACAGACGTGACTCACGAAAGTACGTCTGGAAGACTGGACTACCCACTCCAAATGGTAATCATTTTTTGACTCGTAGGACATCCAGCCGCCTTCAAGTACTTGAGCATGTAGGCAGTCAATGCAGTCTTCTGGCCCAGGCTGGGAAGGGGTTAATTGGTTTTGCTCCATTCCCCGGCTTTTTGAACCCAGCCTACCTGTTCTGTGATGTATATTAATGGAGGGGAGGAGGCTGAGTATGGGAAAGTTCCTACTTGACTAGGATGCTGTGAAGCTATGGAGGGGGACTGCTGTGCCCTGCAGTCCGCCTGAAGATACCGGATTCTGGAGAATGCGACATATTGGTATGCCTGAGCCAACTAGTCAGAGAGTTAGGGGATGCCTGTAATACGGTCCATGGTGGACTATGCTGCATACGTTAAGTAAAAGTTGTATCAACTGTTTGAAAGCCCGGTCTGAAGTTACTTTAACCAGTTGCCCTCCACCCTATAGCAGAAGTACTGCTACAGGGCGGCACGGCTGCGCTAAATCACGTGTATATATACGCAATTTGCATTTCCGGGTAGGGGGTGCGCACATACCACCATGCACATGCCACTATTGGCAGCTGGTGATGGCATTCAGCACTCGGTGATCGTTGGCAAAGCTGATATGGGAGAGATCTGTGTGTAAACAACACAGATCTCTCTCCTGTCAGCAAGGACATGCTGCTTTGTATCTCTCTGCACAGCAGCATGTCTCCCTAATAAAACAGCACACAGTTAAGCCTTTGATCGCCCCAGATGTTACCCCCTTCCTGCCAGTGCCATTAGTACAGTGTCAGTGCTTTTTATTAGCACTGATCACTGTATTGGTGTCACTGGGCATAATTCAGTGGCAGTTCCCCCTCAGTGTCAGAATGCCTGCCAAACTCCCTCTATAAGTCGCTGATCGCCGCCATTACTAGTATAAAACATTATTAAAATTCCAGTATATATACCGCCATTTGTAGACGCTATAACGTTCATGTAAACCAATTAATATACAATTATTGGGATTTATTTTTAGCAAAGACATGGAGCAAAACACATTATGGCCTACTGTACACTTTTATTTATTATTGGGAGTTGTGCCATCAATTTACGCAGCGCTTTACATATATATTGTACATTCACATCAGTCCCTAACCCTCAAGGGGCGTACAATCTAAGGTCCCTAACTCACATTCATACATACACATACTAGGGCCAATTTAGACAGGATCCAATTGACCTAACAGGACTAACTGTATGTCTTTGTGGAGTGTCGGAGGAAACTGGAGTACCCGGAGGAAACCCATGCAGGCACAGGGAGAACATGCAAACTCCAGGCAGGTGGTGCCGTGGCTGGGATTCAAACCAATGACCTGAGTACTGCCAGGTGACGAACAAGTGCTAACCCCATTGTCCTCTGTGATGACCTCAGGGTGTATGTGTGTGTATGTATATATGTAACAAGTGGTGACAACTGTACTCAGCCATGGCACAATGTGAATACGAACAAGTGGGGACAACTGTACTCAGCCATGGCACAATGTGAACACGAACAAGTGGGGACAACTGTACTCGGCCATGGCACAATGTGAACACGAACAAGTGGGGACAACTGTACTCAGCCATGGCACAATGTGAATACGAACAAGTGGGGACAACTGTACTCGGCCATGGCACAATGTGAACACGAACAAGTGGGGACAACTGTACTCGGCCATGGCACAATGTGAATACGAACAAGTGGGGGACAACAAGTGGGGACAACTGTACTCAGTCATGGCACAATGCAACCATGCCTGGTGTGACTACACCCTAAGAACACAATACACCCTAAGGAACACAATATGACAATTTCGACACAAGGAAAAAAAAAAAAAAAAAGTATACCAAAGACCTACAGACTATATAAAAAGATCCCGCCACGATACTGGCCAGCTTCTTACCTTTGGTTCCCATTGGTGTAGGACAATCTTCTGGCACAGGGGGTAGAACTCGTGTGAAGTAGCTTACGTTAGCATAGGCTTCCCAGCTGATATAATCGTATGCAGAGTTGTACGTTGGGGGGCTGGGTATCAGATTGGATCGCACTGTAAAAGATAAAAAGTTGTATGAAAAACAAGTAAAAGGTCAACGCACCCAAAGAGTATGCTTCAATGGTGGGCAGATGCAATCAGCCTCCCCTCCCCCATGCTGGAACAGAAAAGGGATTTCTCCAAACTGTTACCACAAGATTGGAAGAGTACGATTGTCTAAGCCCCCCGTTAGCTGTGATTCTGCCCCAAATAGCTTGTGTGCTTTTTAGAGCTTCACTCCACAACAGTCAGACCCCTCGAGAAAATCGAGATTCTTCCTCTTGAGTGTAACAAAAAGGTCAGGTGTGAATGGAAACTTCGACACTTCCAGTCCGGACGCTTTCACCCCCTTCCAGTCCGGACGCTTTCACAGTCCGGACGCTTTTCCCCCCCCTTCCAGTCCGGACGCTTTCACCCCCCTTCCAGTCCGGACGCTTTCACCCCCTTCCAGTCCGGACGCTTTCCCCCCCTTCCAGTCCGGATGCTTTCACCCCCTTCCAGTCCGGACGCTTTCACCCCCCTTCCAGTCCGGACGCTTTCACCCCCTTCCAGTCCGGACGCTTTCCCCCCCCCTTCCAGTCCGGACACTTTCACCCCCTTCCAGTCCAGGCCAATTTTCAACTTTCAGCGCTATCACACTTTGAATGACAATTGCACGGTCATGCAACACTGGACCCATATGAATTTTTTCACAATTTTTTTAGACAGATAAAACTTTATTTTGATGGTATTTATTCACCACTGGGATTTTTATTTCTTTGCTATATAAATGAAAAAGTCCAAAAATTTTGGGGAAAAAAGTTTTTCTCTTATAAAATTTTGCAAATAAATAATCGTTCTTCATAAATCAAAGTGTGTTCATCTATATTTTTAGTAAAAAAAAAACAAACAAAGCAAATTAGTTTATAACCAAAAATTATAATTTTTCTAATCTGTTTTGAATTCTATTTTCTTATATTATTATTTATGTTTTTTATTTTTTTTTAATATACTGTCAACCTAGCAGTACAATGTCACCATAGTCCCTGAGCAGCCATTTCAGTTGTAGTTAGGGTTAGAAAATGGACTTTGTTCACCCTGTATTGTTAATCACCTCCCGTCCGGCCGTATATAAACGGCCGGACGGTGGCAGTGCAGGGTTGGGTGGCCGTTTATAAACGGCCTCCCAGCACCCTGCTTGTGTGCACTCCCTGGGAGTGAGCACCGCGATCCGGTGCCTGCTGTGTCCTCCAGACACAGTGGAACACCAATCGTCGGATGGGACCTCTGTACGAGGTCCCGATCATTGATTGGCCAATCAGTGATCACATGCAGAGTAGTAAGCAAGATGTCACTTGTGACATCATTGCTTACTACGTGTGAAATCTGTGAATGATCACAAAGGTCACATGGTACAGGGCTATTCACAACAGCCTTGTACCATGTGACAAGCTGTGACCAATCATACTCAGTAGTTCGGATGGGACCTCTGTACAAGGTCCCGATCATTTGATCACTGATTGGCCAATCAGTGATCACATGCAGAGTAGTAAGCAAGATGTCACTTGTGACATCATTGCTTACTATGTGTGAAATCTGTTGTGAAATTCACAACAGCCTTGTACCATGTGACAAGCTGTGACCAATCACACTCAGTAGTTCTCAATGGCTGCAAGAATGCAGCCAGCGAGAAGGAGAAATGATTGCTTTTACACCCATAAAGGATGTAAAAGCAATCAGTGTAAAAAAAAAAATCATCATCACCCCCCACAAGTAGTACAGTGTCACCATGGTGACACTGTACTGCTAGGGTGACAGTATGTAAAAAAAATATAAAATAATAATAAATAATATAAAAAAATAACAAAAAAATGTAAATAAAAAAAGTTCAAAAATTATAATTTTTGGTTATAAACTAATTTGGGTTATTTTTTTTTTACTAAAAATATAATGGAATACATTTTGGCCAAGATTTATGATGAAATACTATTTATTTGCAAAATCTTATAAGAAAAACACTTTTTTTTTCAAAATTTTTGGACTTTTTAATTCACATAGCAAAAAAAAATAAAAATCCCAGTGGTGAATAAATACCACCAAAATAAAGCTTTACCTGTCTGAAAAAAATGCTAAAAAATTCATATGGGTACAGTGTTGCATGACCGTGCAATTGTCATTCAAAGTGTGATAGCACTGAAAGTTGAAAATTGGCCTGGACTGGAAGGGGGTGAAAGTGTCCGGACTGGAAGGGGGTGAAAGTGTCCGGACTGGAGGGGGTGAAAGTGTCCGGACTGGAAGGGGGTGAAAGTGTCCGGACTGGAAGGGGGTGAAAGTGTCCGGACTGGAAGGGGGTGAAAGTGTCCGGACTGGAAGTGGTTAAAGAACTTTTAAGTAAAGTTGCATCAAATTCTTAGCCTGGTCTGAAGTTATTCAAAGGGGTGAATGTTGGGTCTGGTGTATCAAAAGAACCAGGGTCTGCAAAGCACATGTGCGGTACAAAGCTCAGCCACTACCAGGGGATATCTCCGTAAAACAAGAAGGAATGTGATTGCTGTGAACCAAGCACTAGTTCAAGACACAAGCAACCAGCCTTCCACAGGGCGGCTGCTTCTCTTTAACCCCCTTCTTGTTCCGGCCTTGTATCCTGGACCTACGCCCAGCCAATGACTGGACAATGAAAGGAGAAGCAGCACAGCGATGGGCCAATCTGTCACTCTGCTTGCTCCTGATTGGCTCCTTGTGCAGTTTCTTCCTCTCACACTCCAGCACTGCTGTACAGAGACTGCAAGAGGCTGAGATCAGGTCACATTCAGGCTTTTACACTGCTTGCCTGTATAATGCATCTAATGATATTAATCTATATATGATATTAATATTACAGAGCGTCGCTGATTTGTGTCTTTTATATCTGTCTGGGTTTCGAATTTAATTCTACGTGTATTAGGAACTCTTACCTGTCAAAACGAGCCTGACAATTGTATCCCGGATAAAAGTCGCATTTATTATATCCCAAAACCACTTGAAACGAGTCAAGATGTAGTGATAGAAGGAAGGGCTTGGACGGAGGAGATCCCGAATCCTGGACCATAATTCAGCTGAAAGTGAAAAGAGTAAAATGATCAGAAAAATATAACACGCAAACTGTCAAAAGAATGACAAGCTAATAGAACTTTATACAGATGGAAAAGGATATAAAAAGATATCCAAAGCCTTGACCATGCCAGTCAGTTCTGTTCAATCACTTATTAGGAAGTGGAAAATTCAGGGATTTCTTGATACCAAGCCAATGTTAGGTAGAACAAAAAAGATTGCAGCCACAACTGCCAGAAAAGACAACCCCCACAGTTAACATCAGGAGAAATACAGGCTGCTCTGGAAAAAGGCGGTGTGAGCACAAATTTGAAAATACTTGAACAAAAATTAGCTGCATGGCTGAGTTGCCAGAAAAAAAGCCTTTACTACGCCAATGCCACAAAAAAGCCCAGTGAGGTGTGTCAAGGTGTTGTCAGGCATACTGTAGCCAGGATTTTTTTGTGGCAATAGATTGCTGTACTAACATCGCATAGGACTAAATGTTGCAAATTGTTTCTTTTGCTGAATTCAATTAAGTGCTGAAATGCTGGTATCAAACTTTTCTCTGGTGCCAATAAATGTCCAACTGGTGGATAACCAAAACGGCCATCAAAGAGACACTTCCTTATGTCACTTTTCTACATACAGCTTCATGTGCTGGCATATGTGGTGTGAGACATCCTGGAGCTCCTGCAGAAACACATACGTTCTCCCTATGGGTGAAGGGCAATCAAGACTACCTTAAGTGTTACTAAACTCCGGACCCTGCATTCACTATATCTGCTCTCCCCGGACCCCGCATTCACTGTATGCGCTCTCCCTCGGACCCCGCATTCACTGTATGCGCTCTCCTCGGACCCGCATCCGCTCTCCTCGGACCCCGCATTCACTGTATATCCGCTCTCCCGGACCCCGCATTCACTGTATCCGCTCTCCTCGGACCCCGCATTCACTATATCCCCCTCCCCGGACCCCGCATTCACTATATCTGCTCTCCCCAGACCCCGCATTCACTGTATCCGCTCTCCTCGGACCCCGCATTCACTATATCGCTCTCCCCCCGCATTCACTGTATCCGCTCTCCTCGGACCCCGCATTCACTGTATCCGCTCTCCTCGGACCCCGCATTCACTATATCCGCTCTCCCCGCTCTCCGCCGGACCCCGCATTCACTATATCCGCTCTCCCGGACCCCGCATTCACTATATCCGCTCTCTCCGCTCTCCCCGGACCCCGCATTCACTATAACCTATATCCGCTGTCCCGCTCTCCTGTCCCCGGACTCGGATCCGCTGTCCCCCCCGCAATTCACTATATCCGCTCTCCTCGGACCCGGCATTCACTATATCCCGCTCTCCCCGGACCCGCATTCACTATATCCGCTCTCCCCGGACCCCGCATTCACTATATCTGCTGTCCCCAGACCAGCACCCGCATTCACTATATCTGCTCTCCCACAGTACACACAACATGAAAATACAATTATTTTAGTAAACATAAACTGCTAAATCCCTTTTCTCATCAGCAGTATATAGCAGTCTTGTGTCTTCTATCAGTGTCCAGCAGAGCACTGGTTAAAGCTTGTAGGAAAACTTACAAAATATCAATCAAACCGCTCTCTTCGATCCTCCCTTAGACCTCCTGTTCTCTAGTTCTCGTGTCACCTCCTCCCATGCTCGCCTCCAGGACTTCTCCCGAGATTTTTCCATCCTATGGAACTCCCTACCCCCCAATCTGTCTGGCTATCCACCTTTAGACGATCCCTGAAAACCTCTCTCTTTAAAGCAGCCTATCCTGCTTCTACCTAGTAATCTACCTTTTATTTCCTCCATCGGCTCATCCTCCCAACAGCTATTAACTTTTGTATCACATGACCCTTCCTCCTAGATTGTAAGCTCCCAGGAGCAGGGCCCTCTGTTTCCTCTTGTACCAAATTGTATTGTAACTGTAATGTCTGCCTTCATTTTGTAAAGCGCTGCAAAATTTTTTGGCACTATATAAATCCCGTATTATTATAACAACAATAATAGGAGGAGTTTCCATTCTCCCCTGATTGTCCTATGAGGCTGCATAACCCCTGACCCTCTGGACAGTGCTGATTGGTTAGCAATACAAACCAAACTAAGCATGTGCAGCTTGCTCCCAAGGCTCTGTTCTATCAGCAGATGGATTGGGGACAGTAAAAGAAGGGGAGGGTCCGGGAAGACAGGATCAAACAGCCTTTTTACACAATGTGGAGGATTAACCCCTGAGGTTCCACAGTGAGTAGAACAAGCACACTTTACTGCGTATACAGACTGATTGTACTGTTGTGGGTTCAGTAACACTTTGAGCCTTTGTTACTGCACCTTTACCATTGCCCAATGGCACGGTGCTCCTCCTAGATCTCTCCCACAAAGCTGTTTCTATGGATTTGCTTACAAGGATCTTGGGAGGTCCAATATCAGCCATTGAATTTTAAGGTGAACTTACATTTCGCCTTGAAGATGTCAGAAGATCTAGACGCCCTCATCTCAATATCCAATCTTGTATTGTGAAACTATACATAAATATCGTCAGGCAGATGTGTTCCTCCAATACCTACCAGATATCCAGGAGGTTGTAAACAACTGACAGCAGAGATTTAATGGAGGTGGTGGAGAGGACAGGAAGAACATTCTGGGATTACTCTCTGGGGTTTTATTACATGAACATGGAAAACATTCACTGAGCTCCTGACATAAGGTATTCCAGCAATGTACAGATGGAGACACATTTATCACTTCTACTACCCTGTCCATAGGAGGCACGGCAAGATGGACGGTTCAGCTTTCTTTTGGGCCGCATCCAGCTCTTTAATATTTTTATGGCCATTGGAAAATTTTAGATGCAAAAGGAAGAAAGAGAGCAGGAGACAAAAGAGGAAAAAACCTTCTATAGCCTGTCCCCAGTCTCCAACAACTCCTGATGGATGTCCCCAGTCTCCAACAACTCCTATAGCATGTCCCCAGTCTCCAACAACTACTATAGCATGTCCCCAGCCTCCTACAACCCCTATAGCCTGTCCCCAGTCTCCTACAACTCCTATAGCATGTCCCCAGTCTCCAACAACTCCTATAGCATGTCCCCAGTCTCCAACAACTCCTATAGCATGTCCCCAGTCTCCAACAACTCCTATAGGATGTCCCCAGTCTCCCAACAACTCCTATAGCATGTCCCCAGTACTCAACAACTCTTATAGCATGCCCCAGTCTCCAAGAACTGCTATAGCATGTCCCCCAGTCTCCAACAGTTCCTATAGCATGTCCCTAGTCTCCAACAGTTCCTATAGCATGTCCCCAGTCTCCAACAACTCCCATATTATGTCCCCAGTCTCCAACAACTCCCATATTATGTCCCCAGTCTCCAACAACTCCTATAGCCTGTCCCCAGTCTCCAACAACTCCTATAGCCTCTCCCCAGTCTCCAACAACTCCTATAGCACGTTCCCAGTCTCCAGCAACTCATATATAATGTCTCCAGTCTCCAACAACTCCCGCAGTATGTCCCCAGTCTCCAACAGTTCCTTTAGCATTTTTGCAGTCTCCAACAACTCCTATATAGTGTCCCTAGCAATTCCTATAGCATGTCCCCAGTCTCCAACAACTCCTATAGGATGTCCCCAGTCTCCAACAACTCCCATAGCATGTCCCAAGTCTCCAATAACTACTATAGGATGTCCCCAGTTTCCAACAACTCCTATAGCATGTCCCCAGTACTCAACAACTCCTATAGTCGGAAAAATTTCGATTCGTGCCGAATCCGAAAAACAGCCTAATTCGGACGCGCGAATCGAAATTTTTCCGAAAATGGCGGCTGACATGTGCGGCGTCGGGGAAGGCGCGCAGACAAGGCGCGCTGCCCCATAATGCATTCCTCAACGACATGTGATCGCATCAGCCAATCAGCAGCCAGCCAGCCAGCACTGTGTAATGGTCGAGGTATATATAGCGGCCATTTTGGAAATCTTCATTTGCCTGCAGTCATTGAACAGAGGCAGACCGCTCTGTACTAGGGACAGGGACAGAGTTAGGGCCACAGAAACGAGAATTGGGGACAGAGAGAAGTTACTTAGGGACAGAGAACCATTACTCAGGGACACAGACTTGTTAATGAGGGCCACAGAATCGTTATTTAGGGACAAAGAAACGCTAGTTAGGGCCACAGAATTCATACTCAGGGACAGACAGAATTGTTACTCAGTGCCAGAGAATTGTTACTTAGGGCCACAGAAACGTTATTAGGGCCACAGAATTTTTACTCAGGGACAGACAGAATTGTTACTGAGTGCCAGAGAATTGTTACTCAGGGACAGACAGAATTGTTACTGAGTGCCAGAGAATTCTTACTCAGGGCCACAGAATTCATTCTCAGGGACAGACAGAATTGTTACTCAGGGACAGACAGAATTGTTACTGAGTGCCAGAGAATTGTTACTCAGGGACAGACAGAATTGTTACTGAGTGCCAGAGAATTGTTACTCAGGGACAGACAGAATTGTTACTGAGAGTGCCAGAGAATTGTTACTACTCAGGGACAGACAGAATTGTTACTGAGTGCCAGAGAATTGTTACTCAGGGACAGACAGAATTGTTACTGAGTGCCAGAGAATTGTTACTCAGGGACAGACAGAATTGTTACTGAGTGCCAGAGAATTGTTACTCAGGGACAGACAGAATTGTTACTGAGTGCCAGAGAATTGTTACTCGCACAGACACAAAATTGTTACTTGCACAGACACAGAATTGTTACTACTCGCGCAGACACAGAATTGTTACTCAGGGCCACAGAATTCATACTCAGGGACAGACAGAATTGTTACTGAGTGCCAGAGAATTGTTACTCAGGGACAGACAGAATTGTTACTGAGTGCCAGAGAATTGTTACTCAGGGACAGACAGAATTGTTACTGAGTGCCAGAGAATTGTTACTCGCACAGACACAAAATTGTTACTTGCACAGACACAGAATTGTTACTCGCACAGACACAGAATTTGTTACTCAG